AAATTATCTTATGGAAGACGGACAAAAGACGATACCCCTGCAAGGCCACAAGTCTGAACATACTTCTCCAGAATCTTTTGCTTCCCTTGTCTCTCATTGTCATGATATGCGCTAACTATATGTTCTCAGAAAGAAAATGGATCAGCCATTGGGGATGGGCTTGAACAGCAATATGGTCCATGGTTGCGGGAGTCAAGGAAGAAATCTGCAGGACTATCGTATCGGAAGGGGCTGACCAAACCCAGTTGCATTTCCCATCTTCTTCTTGCCGAAAGCCGTCTGAACATCTCACTGGCCTGGAGGAGAGGTTGGTACATAATCAGGTCCCTGATTATCAGCAGAAGGATTTCAGTTGCAATCAGGGGGAGCTGGTGGTGGAGGCTATCGGGAATGATCTCAGTGCAGAAGTTCAGGAACTGGATAATTGTGGGGCAAATCGCCCACGTGGGAATGTTCTACTGGACCTGGGCCATGGTAAAAATTGGAAAAAAAGGGCCCGATCAAGCCCAGTTTTGGTAAGGCCCCAGTTAATGGAGGTGGATGGTTTTGAGCCCATAGCATTGAGCACTAAAGGTTAGGAGGATGTTGATGCAGAGGATTCGTCCCCTAAACGTGTTAGAAGGGTGCTGAGTGAGAAGGATGATTTTGGTTTGGCAGTGGCTGCTGGGCAGCCCTGCGAGCCAGTTTGATTGCTTGACTGTCATGGTTGTGGGCTTGGGATCCCTTGGCTGTTTGGGTGTGATCTTTGTTTGGACTTGGCTAAGTTCCCATTTTGGGTTCCTTCTGGAACCGGGTTGTATAGGTTGGGGGGTTTTTTTAGGATTTCGTTTTTAGTTTTGATGGTGGTTTGGTGGGTTGGTGGTGTTCAGGTACGGTTCGGTTGGTGGTGTTTTTCTTCGTTGGTTGGGATGTGGTGGTTGTGCGGTGCTTCCTCCGGTATTTTTTGGATTTTCAATCACCGGCTTGGTGAAGGGCTTGCTGTGTATTAATGATTGATGAAGATCTTGATTCCGGATGCTCGGGCACCTGTTCGGGTTCCTAGGGTTAGTTTGGGTGGTGTTGTTTTGTATAG